CTGTTTTTAACTCTTTATTATATTATACATTGTCTGTACATCTTGATAGACTTTACAATATCTCAATTTTCTATCTAACTACTCCATTCTCAATGTTTTAATTTTACTATTTATTTTCATTTCTTATATAACTTCATATTTCTTTTTTATGTTTTACATTTTATTCTAAGATTCCCATTGTAACACTTATGTCACCTTTTTTGATTATGCCTACTTCATCATTCTACACTTTGTAACGGTTATTATTATTTATCTCTTAGTTCTTAGTCATTATTCTAACAATTTCATTTTACTTTATATTTATTTATTTTATTTTTCTAATTTTTTTATTTTTGTTATTTTTTTTACTATCACTACTTATGTTTCTCATACCTTGTTATCTGGTTATTTTCTTAGCCCTGATGAAGGCCTGAACTTCAGGTCGAAACGTCGGCATATGTAAAAAATAAATATTATCATTTATTTTTGCCTTCCTTTTTGACTGACCACCCCAACTATTCTTTTCTTTATTATCCTTATGGAAATACAAATTTCTTTTTATACTACATAACAGACATTACAACACTCTTAAGCATAAATTAAAAATTATATTCGGTAGAGGTCAGATAGTTAAAATAGTTCCAATTATCAAATTAATATAAAATCTAAAATTGTTAACGATATACATAAAAATATAAATAGTCAACCCTATACCTAAATGAACAGACAAGAAAAATACCCGGCCAGATTACATACCGATGTACAATATGGAATTTTTGGCATATTATGCGGAAGACCATATTCAAGATTACCCTACTAATTCTCTATAATTTGATTTATTTGAGATAAAAAATATAATTTTCTCATATCTTCTGCACTGGTTGGCTTAAATATTTCTATCCCATCAAGATTTTCCATACCCTGAAAAATTCTTACCCTTAAACTACTATAAATTGGGCATTTAATCAATATATGATGAAGTGTTTCCTTTACTTTAGTGTTGCAAATTTTGCACTCAAGTTAATTTTCACAATTTTATAATTAACAGAAATCTTGATCATATATTATCCCAAGAGTCGGATCTGCATTAATAGTTTTGTATATTTAAAATTAGTCGGTATCAACAAATACTGGGGGATGTGATCATTATTAAGAAAAAGGTTTAAATGTTCACTATAAGATGAGCTATGCAATGTTATCCTGTCTCCGTCCTGCAAATGTTTTTTGTATTTATTTAATATTCTGTTAATATTTCTTCTAATTATGGCTGTAGGTTTCATATACTAGATTTCCTTCCCCAATAGTATCAAACAATACTTTTAGCTGAGAACACCGCTTATATTTCGATAGAGCAGGATTAGCTGAGTGACATTTATTTCTTAGCTTTTCGAAACATATTTTTGGATATCTACATTCCTCCATTTTCACAAGTTTAACGGTCCAATTCAATGAACACTTCATAATATTTAAACCTATATGAATAGACCCTGTCTCTAAACGCACTAAAAAGTCTGCGGTTGTTTTACATAGCGAATATGTCTTTTTATAGAAATTTGTGTTGACCTTTTCTAAGAGCTCTATATACTGGAGACTCCATACTTGGGAACAATATAGCAGAGATGTATTGAAGACAGCTTTTTTCAACTTATCTCTCACCTTCCAGGAGTTCGTTTTTTGCTTTAGAACAAATGTATTGTCAAGTTTGGCTTTGAGATTGTCATCTTAACTGCTTGCGAAAACAAACCAGAACTACAAAAGTGAATATATCAAATATTTTATATGAATATATAAAATATCAATCAGTTCTCCATCCAAATATATACTGTTATATTTCTTTGAGCGCCCCCTAGCGAAATTCAAAATTTTCGTTTTATCAATGTTTATAATTAGTTTGTCTATTGTCTCTACAGTATACATTTAGAGCATTAATTTTTTTTACAAGGTCGGTATAGGAATCAGAAAAAATAGCCATGTCATCTGCAAACAAGAGCAACAGAATGTCAACACATCCATTAATAGGTATACCAGACAGGTTAAGCTTGCGAAAGTATTCCTCAATAACAGATAAGAAAAGATTGAACGGCATGGGACTCAGTGTCTCTCCTTGTAGCATACCTTCGGTAATTTTAAACTTTTGTGACAGTCCTCCAGCGGTTCCCTTTATTTGTGTGTACGCGTTATCATACATGTTTCCCATAACTCGAATTATTTTCCCACTTAAACCAATAGGAAAAAGTTTGTGCCATAGTAGGTTGTGATTTATGGAGTCAAAAGCCCGACGAAATTCTACAAAAATAATGAAAAGGTTAGACTTCTCTTTTAAAAATTGGTTTTGGATAAGGGCATTTAATACAAAAACATTATCTAAGCAGCTTCTCCTATTTCTGAATCCTGATTGGCATTCAGGTGTAATTCTGGTTTCTTCTGTCCATGCTGTTGCTCGTTCCAACAGGATTTGGGTAAAAATTTTGGAAGCACAGTTTGCGATAGATATATTTCGATAATTAAGTGGGTTTCCTCGGTCTCCTTTCTTAAATATCATTATGCTCAAAATTTCAGCCCATGATTTAGGCATCTCATTCTTCAGAATTTTATTGAATAAATTCTGTATATACAATAACCAATTAGCTGGAATATTTTTATATATATCATTTGGGACACCATCAAGCCCTGGGCTTTTGCCATTTTTAACTTTGTTTAAAGCCCTACCTATTTCCTCAGAAGATATATCTCCATCTAATAATGGATGTCGACTATCGATAAAAAAATGATTGGATGTCAACCTAGATGGATACATCATTTTAAAAAACTTCTCCCACTCCTCTATAGAAATGCTCGATCTGTAAATGGCTGCCCCTAAATCGTTTTATGAAACCCCAAAATGTTGAACCATCCTTAGTTGTTATATATTATATTTTCTTTTTTTTATTTTCACAAAATTTTTATATTGTTTTTTCAATTTTAGAAAATCAAATAAGAATTCACCCATAAAATTGCTTTTTTTACATTTAGAGAAAGAATTCTTCAGATCAGTCTTTAGTGCCTTGCATACACTATCATACCAAGGTTTATTTCTACTAATGCCCAGTTTGTTAAATTCAGTTATACTTTTCATTATATTAATTTCTTTAGAGGTTCTGAAAACAGCGGATATAAAATAGTTCTTCAACAGTACTGCTTCTAAAGTCCACTGTGATTAATGGAGAGATCAGTAAACTACTTTTAAATATTTCCGATATATTTTTATTCCATTTAATAAGGTTTCTTGTATAGGTGCTATTTTTTTTATTCACGATAGACCCACAGTACACTTTTAATTCTAAAGGTAAATGATCAGAACTGGACAATATTTGTTTAACTCTAAAATCGCATACGAATTCTAAGCCACCGATTTTACACCAGACAAAATCTATGACACTCGATCCACTAGTGCTACAGTAAGTATAATTACCAGTTAGATCACTAGGAATTCGGCCATTAAACACTATAAAAGAATTAAGCTCCATTAATTCGGTTAATATTTTCCCTCTTAAATTTTTTAAGCTATCTGAATTTTTTCGATTTGTCAGGAGGCAAGTGTCATGAACAATTTCTGGAGAGCATATATTTAAATTACTTATTCTAGAATTAAAGTACCCTCCCAAATAAATCGGAATGTTTTTTATGTTCTCCTCTGATCTCATCTATATTAATTTCTATTTTTTCTAAAAATAGATTAATATCTAAACCAGGATTAATACAAACAAAGTTTATAATTAATATTAACCTATTTTTACAGAATAACAAAAAAAATTGTCTCTATTATTACGTAATGTTCTTACAGAGCACTTATCCTGATCATAAAAACAAACGAAGCCACCAGAGGCTCTGCCAGATGATCATAAAGGATTTGCAACCAGTTCAACATTCAAGACATGAGACAACAAAGCCCTTCGTAACTCAGCATCTTTCAACTTGCTCTCACATTTTTCTGCCTCGGGGCTCTTTTCATTCTAAGATGCAACCATCTTATTCAGGACCCCATCTCGTTCTCAAACACCTCAACAAATATTTTTATATTGGAATAAAGGGCAAGAAAACAAGAGTTAAGATCGGCAGGTTCAAGCCAGTGTTTCTTCTGGGATCTGCATCTACTATGAATAATCACTAAGAATCTGATGAGCTCCAGCATAAACGAGAACCTCCAACCACCTCAATGTCCACAGAACAGCTTCAAGAGAAAAGATCCAACAATTTTAATGTTCGGTATTGCCTGCCAAATAATAACCTGGAGTCCTCTGGTTCTCTAGGTTTTTCACTGGTGGAGGATTGTGAAGCAGACACATTTATTTTATAAATATTTATAAACAATTGAATAACCTCACTAATTAATTCTAACACATATTTTGGTATGTTACTTTTTAGTTGTTAATTTTGCTGTCATAGTTTCTGGTTTTCTTTTTTGGTATTCTAATAAAGTAGTTAAAAAGAATTATTTTATTAACTAGAGCACACCTTTAGACAAGCAATGCTCATATCAGTACTCCTGTTTACATTACATTTAATATTTGCAAAATCACCGTACAATATTTTTGAGATGACACAATGATTAATAATTCTGCTTAAAAATAATCAATCTAGAGAACATCTTTTCCATTTATCAATCGGTTCTACAATAGTTGAGAAATGTGATCTTGTAAAAAAAAAAAATCATTAGAACAGCGTAATATGAAATTTGGATAAAAATAATTTGAAATAAGAAATGCACTGATAAGGCATTTTGATGTAAGGCTCTTGGTAGACAATCAACAATGCCTATTACAATGTGAAAGTTGTGTGAAACATAAATAAATTTCATCAGATTTCCACCTTACTTACTACTTGGAATTAAGGAAAGCTAACGTAATTAAAAAAATAAACTTACTTAACAATTTTAAAATTCTTAATGAATCAAAATCAATAGCCTCAAACTATTATTTTAACCTAATTATAATCACTAAATATTTTGATACTAAACAGATATCGAAAAAAATTCAACTCACCAATTAGCTGTACACTCCCATTGCGATCCCTATGAGAAAATAAGTAAAAATAATAAAACAGGAAGAAAGAAAATAACAATAACGTAAAATAATGAAACCTTTATGCATAGAAGATTCATGCTTAGTATAAGGAATAAACTTACCCGAAAATCCAATGCAGAAGTTTAAATATTAAAATAAAGGAAATAATTCCCACAAAGAGGCCTATATAAACATCAGATCCAAACCCTTCTATCATTGCAAAATCAGTAATTGATACATAACAAACTTTGAATAGAAACCGGGCTTTGATAAATAAAGTCGATCAAGCTAACGAGCAGATTTATTCAACAAAGAGCTATAAGGATATTTACAGATGTGTTATTAAAGTGAAAACCATCACAGAATGGCCGACACGTCAAAATTTGGCAAAGACAAACCCTAGGAACCCCAATTTTGTTAGCAGTTTAAAATGTTCTATATTAACCGATTAATACCCAACACTTATCAAAACATGGTAGCATTCGCCTGTTGGATTGTAGTAATAAGATTGCATAGCACTCCGCGGTGGTTCGTTTTGCCCTGATGGTAAGCAAGAGTCACTTCTTTCTGTCGTTCCTCGTCCCGCACCGTTTCCACCATCAGCTTACACCGGATGAATGTCCTATCTATCCCCAATCGTTCATCCCGCCATAGCCTTTTTATCTTCTCCCAAATCGTTTCATTCCCCACATATAAGTGGTGAATTTTCCTTGCTTTAGACGCGTCTTTTAAAGCTCTGCAGATCTGGTCCCCGCTGGCCCCTGGTTGTGACCAAATGGTTGTTATTCGGCTGTTTCCATATTTGCTGTATAGTATCTTCATCAGACCCAACGTCCTGGTCTTCCAGATAATCTGGCGGTTTTTATCGTTGACGATTTCCTCCCGTTCTTCCATATCCGATGATCTCTCTTCCTCTGGACTTTCATGTCCTGGGGACTCATCTCCAATCTCACCTCCCTCTCCCTCTGGCGTCCACTCACTCAGGAACTGTCTCACATCCCTGGATGATTCTCCCGTGTCCTCTTCTATAGCATTTATGGTGATTGCCCTTGACAACCAATCTGCCACCACGTTCTTCCTCCCAGGTTTGTATACGATGTCCAAATTGTATTGAGTCAGGAATTCCTTCCAACGTGTGACTCTAGCGGAGGACTCCTTCAGCTTGCCTGCCCATTGTAGAGGTCTATGATCCGTGTGCACACGGAACTTTCTCCCAAACACGTAGGGTCTATCGCAAACACAATCTCCAACAGTTCTCTTTCCAGCGCGCTATATCTGGTTTCTGCGTCCGTAAGCTGCCTGCTGGCATACGCTACGGGGCGCTCCCCTCCATTCCCTTCTTGTGACAACACCGCCCCCAACGCGTATTCACTAGCGTCTGTCGTTATGGTGAATACTTTCGAAAAATCCGGAAATGCCAACACTGGCTCCACTTGCAGTTTCGCCATGCATCTCCTAATATTATCCTCCATTATAGGGGTCACTATTACCTTTCTGCCTTTCTTTAATACGTTGTTAAGGGGCACGAGGTATTCCGCCATTTCGGGCACGAATCTTCTATAATAGTTGAGAGTACCCAACAGCCTGCGAATCCCTTTAACATCCCGAGGTATCTCCATTTTCCGAATTGCCTCTACTTTCTGCGCGTCTGGTTTGACTCCCTCGCTTGAAATCGTGTGGCCTAAAAAATGTATGCGGTCTTGTCCCAGCACCGACTTCTCGTTGGACAATTTCAACCCAAATTGCCTCACTCTCTCGAACACACTCCGTAGGTGCTCCACATGCTCTGCCTCGGTTTTGCTAAACACTAACAAATCATCCATGTAAATTTGACAGACTCCTTTATCAATTCCTCTGAGAAACTCGTCCATCAACCGCTGGAATGTTATAGGGGCATTCTTGAGCCCAAACGGCATCCTAGTAAATTCGTAGTGCCCTCTCTCGAATGTAAATGCTGTCTTCGGCTGGTCTTTTGGGAGCATTCTAATTTGATGGTATCCCGCCTTTAAGTTTAGAGTGCTAAACACTGTTGCCCTGCTTAACCTATCTAAAATGTCTTCAAACTTCGGGATTGGATATTTCTCATCTACCGTATTTTCATTCAATTTGCGGTAATCGATCACGACTCGGTATTTCTCCTTATTCTCTCCCGGTGCGCTTTTCTTCTTCACTGCCCATAGCGGACTGTTGTAAGGCGACCTGCTATCCACAATTATGCCCTGGTTCTTTAAGCTCTGCAACTCTTCTATAATGTGTTGACGAAGCGCCTGCGGATATCTCCTCTCTTTCACGTAACTCACCCTCTCGTGCTTTAAAGGAATCTCGTGCACCGTTTTACCTGTCACCCCCAATTTATTCCCCTCCTTAAAGAAAACGTCTTCGAACTCCCTTCTCACTGTCACTCTCCAATCCTCGGCTCGACTTATAGCTCCTATGCGCGCCCTATCGACCTCATACTTTACTGCTACCCTGCTCGTGTAGTTCACATTCCCTATTTTTATTCTCCACTCCTTTCTTCTATTCGAGATTCGCACGCCCACCTTTCCCAGCATGTCACAACCTATAATTGCCTGATATTCCCGGGGCATTTCTCCCACCACATACACCGTAAGTTTACCTCCCTTGGCCGCCCAACCCCTCAATCCTATCTCCACTTCCCCTTCCACTCCACACGGGCCACCCAGGGTGATTAACTTACAACTACATACCTTGATTTGGAGTGTCCTCTCTCCCCCGTACAGCTTCTCCAACACTCCACGCGTCATAATGGTATTGGAGCTCCCAGTGTCTACCAGGCACCTCACTCCTCTTGACTCTATTATTGGTAACCAGCAGCTTTTCCCTCGAATGCTATAATTTACTAGCGTGCGGTCACCTCTCGCCTGACACCCTCCTCAGATCCTCTCTACTGCTGACCGCCGTCCGCTTCTTCCACTGCCTCTCCGCCCTTCTCCGCTCCTCTCGTTTTCCCGGCTTACTGGGCCCTCTGGTTCTTCCTCGGTCTTGGTGGTTGCAGATTCTTCTGAAGCCTCCGTCGATGAGTCACGTCTCCTGGACTGCATCCTTCTTCTCCTCAGACCTTGCGCATTCACCTCCATTGGCTCTGCTGGTTGTGGGTCTCTGTCCCTTCGTGAATATATATACGGACACTGCCTCGCAATGTGTCCCTTTGTCCCGCACTCGAAGCATTTCGTGCGGGAACACTGTGCCACCAGGTGTCCGCTCTTCCCACAGCCGTGACATTTTTTGTCTTCTTTCCGTTGGCTAGCCCTCGCTCTATTTTGCCCTGGTCTTCGCTCCGCTCCCATGTGCTTCTGTCTCCTGCTGTATGCGGACTCTCTCCTTCTCCAAGTCATCGGTGTACTCCTAGGCCTCCTACAGCCTACCCGATTCCAGTCTGGTTAATCCACCTCTGGCCGGCTTTCTTCCTCTCGGGTGCTGGAGTCTACCATCACTTGAGCGCACTCAATAAATGATCTTTCCCTGGGTAAGCCGTCCTTCTTCCCGGTTTCCTTCGCCAGTTGGACCTTCAATATTGTAGACAAGAAGGCCATTTTTGCTTCTACCTCCGGAGCGCCTGCTGTTTCCCGCATCTTTTCTGTAATGCGATTATAATGGGCTACGAGTGTCGCCGCATACTGCCCATTTGACTGCCGTGAAGACCTCATCTCGCGGAACATCTGGAAGATGTCTTCCTCGGTCGTCCATCTGCCGCCTCCATAGGCTTTCTTCAATCGTTGCTTGACCGTCTCCCACGGCGTCTCTTCATCAGCCTGAATGTGGTTCAGTATACTACGTTTAACCCTGCACACAAGTGCTGCCTTGAGGGCCTCCGTATCTTCGACATTGACGAGATTCTCGTCTATTTTTGCATTAATCCTCGTCACGATTCGATCTCCCCCTTTTAGAAAGTGGTTTAGCTCACCTGTTTCTCCAGTGAAGCGCTCGAGATCGGATATAGCCTTTCTCAAGTCCTGTGAAGTAGCTACCCTGATCTTCATCCATTCAATTGCGTTCGCATATGCTGCGGCTAAAGTTCCCTGTGGTAACGGAGGGATCTCCGGCACATTCATAGGAGCCGGCTGCCTCAGGTCGAATTCGGGCATCCTCGTAAAACTTTTTACTGACTGCGAAAAGAAAACGTACCTCTTTTCACCGTCCCGGGTTTCGTCACCAATTAAACGTAGATTGCTTGGAACACTTAAAAAAAGTACTAGGGTTAAGAAATAACACGCATGAAGACGAAATCATGACTGGTTTATTTCTCCTTCTAATCCTCTATAAATACATTCTCAGATTGTTTACATCACTGCATTTGGTATTAACGCTAATACTGTCCCGCTCCGTACCTTAACTTGTATACACATATACATATATACAGAAATACACACTCACACATATATATAAATATGTATGTATATATAATTATATATATAGTTTCTCTTATGTATATAAATTATATTTTGTTTTCTTGTAATTTTAAGGATTGTAATATAGTTTTTCATTTATAATGTTATGTAGGTTTTTTATGAGGTTTTCCTACTGTAAAAAATGGATTTCAATTTTCAAAACAGCATTCATACCATTAGTATGTCATGTATAAGGTTACTGCAACCACAAACATGTAATTTATCATTATGACATGATGTAATGTATATATAAAAAAATAAATAAAAAAAACCAATACAAAATAGAATCTGCTCATCAACAACAGCGAAAATCTCAATAGGTAAACTTACAATACAAATATTTAGAACAGGTTAACAAGCCATTCTTAAAAAAACACATAAAAAGTAACTGATTTATGTATAAAGGACAAAATAATTAAAAAATAACCCACAACAAAAAACAAAACCGACCACAAATTATATACTACAATCAATTTGATTGTTAATGAAAACCATTACCCTCTCCAATTTAAAGAAATTTGTTTATTGTACGAAATAATTCAGATAGAAAAATTGCCATAAAACACAACAGACCTTATAAAACAATTCACAATGCACAGGGAAGTGTTAATTAGGATGCTAACAGACATCAAAGGACGCATAGATCATAGAGGCATCAAAATACGGACAAAAACATTTTTGAAACTACTGAACGAAAATGACCTTGTCGAGAACACACCCGGTAACAAACCTTTGAAAATATCAACAGGCAACAGTTACTAAATAACAAAAAATAATACATGGGAATTGTAACGGTTTCTACCGACACATTGAATATTTTAGTACTATTCACAGTTTAGGAGTAGCCACAGTTGTCTTGGGAAACATCTATTGCGAAGAAGTACCATTA